CGTGGTGGTGAGTATGAATCTCCGTTTATTGAGATTTGTGCTCAATCTGGGATTATCCACCAAACCACGACGCCTTATTCTCCTCAATCTAATGGGATTGCTGAGCAGAAGAATAGGACGCTAAAGGAAATGATGAATGCAATGTTGATAAGTTCTGGATTACTACAGAACATGTGGGGGGAAGCAATTCTCTCTGCAAATTACATTCTGAATAAAGTACCTCGGAAGGAGGTGGACAAGACGCCGTATGAGTTATGGAAAGGCGTTAAGCCTTCATATAAATTCTTACGAATGTGGGGGTGTCTTGCAAAAGTGGCGATTCCTACACCCAAATGGGTTAGGATAGGCCCGAAATCGGTGGATTGTATATTCATTAGTTATGCACATAATAATAGTGCATATCGGTTTCTTGTACATAAGTCTAAAATTCCAGACATACATAGGAATACCATTATGGAGTCAAGGAATGCATGTTTCTTTGAAGACATTTTTCCTTACCGAACCCATGATGGGGTTCCAAGGTTTTTGGAGCAATTTGATGAGCTTGCTAGTGATGATGATCATGTTGATGATCAAGGTGATGATCAAATTGAGGTTTTAGATGAGCCTAGAAGGAGTAAAAGGGCTAGGATATCCAAATCTTTTGGTCCAGACTTCTTGACTTATATGGTTGAGAACGAACCTCAAACTTTTCACGAAGCTGTGACTTCTCCTGAGAGTCCTTTATGGAAAGAAGCGATCAAAAGTGAGATTGACTCCATCTTACAGGACCACACCTGGGAGTTGGTAGATTTACCTCCAAGTTGCAAGCCTTTAGGCTGCAAATGGATTTTTAAAAGAAAGATGAAGGCCAATGGGTCAATTGACAAGTATAAGGCGAGGCTCGTTATCAAAGGGTACAGGCAACGAGAAGGCCTGGATTACTTTGATACGTACTCACCTGTAACTAGGATAACATCCATTCGCATGGTGATTGCGATTGCAGCTTTGCGCAATCTTGAAATTCACCAGATGGATGTAAAGACAGCTTTCTTAAATAGGGATTTGAATGAAAAAATCTACATGGAGCAACCTGAAGGGTTTTCAGCTCCAGGGCAAAGGAAGAAAGTTTGTAAACTTGTCAAATCTTTGTATGGTTTGAAGCAAGCGCCTAAACAATGGCATGAGAAGTTTGACAACGTAATGTTGTCAAATGGGTTTAAAATCAACGAATGTGACAAGTGTGTTTATGTCAAAGACACTAACAGAGCTTATGTCATTTTGTGTCTATATGTTGATGATATGTTCATTATAGGCAGTAACGATGAAATGATCAAAACTACTAAGAAGTTGTTAAACTCTAAGTTTGACATGAAGGATATAGGCATTGCAGATATTATTTTGGGAATTAAGATTACCAGAATATCTGGCGAAATTGTACTTTCTCAGTCTCATTATGTTGATAAGATACTTGAGAAGTTTAGTGGATCAGATACGAGTGTGTCATCGACACCTGTAGACTTAAGTTTACATTTTACCAAGAATAATAAAGAAAGTGTCTCCCAATTAGAATATTCTCAGGTAATTGGAAGTTTAATGTATCTAATGAGTTGTACTAGGCCGGATATAGCTTACTCGGTTAGCAGGCTTAGTAGATACATAAGTAATCCTGATGCTTCGCATTGGAAGGGCATTGTGCGGGTGTTAAGGTATTTACGCTACACTCGGGATTATGGGCTGCATTATACTCGATATCCAGCAGTGCTTGAAGGCTATAGTGACGCAAATTGGATATCAGTTATAAAGGACTCAAAGTCCACTAGTGGATATGTGTTCACTCTTGGTGGGGCAGCCGTGTCTTGGAAATCTTCCAAGCAAACGTGTATATCTAGATCAACGATGGAATCAGAGTTCATTGCTTTGGATAAAGCAACGGAAGAAGTTGAATGGCTTCTCCATTTCATTGAGAATATTCCACATTGGTCTAAACCTGTGCTAGCTATTTGTATTCATTGTGATAGTCAATCTGCAATTGGTAGGGCATAGAGTAATATGTATAATGGAAAATCTAGACATATTCGTCGTAGACATAATTCCATACGACAACTACTCTCGAATGGAGTTGTCTCTTTAGACTATGCAAAGTCTAAGGACAACATTGCGGATCCGCTAACCAAAGGGTTAAATTGAGTGTTAGTCGAAACGCCGTCAAAAGGAATGGGGTTGAGGCCTTTGGGAGTTACCGGAATGGAAACCCAACCTAGTTGACTGGAGATCCCAAAATCTAGGTTCAATGGGACAACCTAATTGCGTGTAACGGTGGCATGTCACTGAGGAGGTTAAACCTCCAGCCATTCCTTTTATCAGTGATACCTGCAAGTGTAGAGGTTAAGCTAAGCTTTTAATGACTCTAGTGTGTTAAGCTATTGAGCTAAGTATAGCAGGATACTAAAGTAGAGTCACCTATGTGAGTTTGAAGTGGGGCCGCTTCTAGAAGAATTGGGCAGGCCAAGATTCTTTGAAACCACTCGCTGAACCAGGCTAGTGCCCAAGGCCATACAGGGCACACCAGTGAGAAAAGAATGGTGGTAGGAGTAATTCCTGTGTGAGATCTATTGTCTCAGTTTACATAAACGGCAGAGCAGTTCAAGATGTCATATTCACTGATCAGCCAGTAAACTCGATAGGTTTTCACTGGGAGAGGTTCAAAGCCAAAAGCTACCTTCTCTAATGTCAGGGTTAGTTCGTTGTACTCTCTCTCCAAGTCATTAGTGTTGAACGGTGTCCGTTTATTGAGTCATTCGGTCAATTTTTATTCATGTGGGGGATTGTTGGAAGAAATGTTTTTTTGGTGACTTTAATTTAATATTAAAGTGTGGTGACTTTAATTAAATATTAAAGTGGGTCCCAACCATTTATTGTGTTGGGTCCAAGTGGGCCAAAAACCGTTGAGATTTGAATAAGAAATTGCCAAGAAATTGCCTCATGATGATAGATTCATGAATAGGATTTTAAAGGGTATTTAAATCCTTTTTCTTGGTTAAAGGGTGTGAATCTTTTGGATATCCAAACTTTTCAATTTTTTGGAAAGGGGCTATGGATGCTAGTTAATGGGGTTTTAATGACCAGCCGTAAAGGCTGGAGGCTCTTCCTCTCTCCCCTATACATGTATAAATTGAGACCCTCCTGTCAAGTCTCTATATAGAAATTTTTGCTTCCATTTTACAAGTTAGTTTGCTAGAAAGTTCTTACAGTGAGAGAGTGCTGCCACTGTTTTTGTTCGCTAAGCTTAACAGAGAGTGCTTCTGCCGTAGCTGGTTTTGACCATCTTATCCTGGGAGACAGACGCCGGGATTCCTCAAGCACTCGACCCGTGAGGCGGTGAAATCTGTTTTAAGGAAACTGCTTCCGTGCAGGCTTCGGTTTGGTTTCTTTACCATTTTATTGTTTTGTGTATTTCTGTTGAAATTTAGTTGTAATTATCAGCATATGTTCTTGGTATATAATTTTGATTTCTTCATAAATCTATTTATTTAATTTCACAATTTGGTCAACAAAAAATATATTTTTTTTTCATTGATCAACAAGGAAAAGGATTGAGCTAAGTAGTTGAGAGTGTGGGTTGAGTGTTTGTGAGCTTTAAATAATTAGCTTTAATTTTTGTTGTGAAATTTGCTCTATTGAACAGTCTGTTTAGATACCCTCTTGGGTAGATTGTGCTGAATATACATCATGAATGAAATGTAGGAAAGCTTGCTCTTGGTTGCTAGCTGGTGTGGAATTGTGATGCTGCTGGATGATGTGTGCTGAATTAATTTACTTGTACTTGTATCTGTATTTGTTTTGTGGAACAATCTGTGTAAATGCATATGTAAATTTTAGTGTTTATTGTAGTTTGGGACCCTTGCATGGGTTGGTAGTTACTGTTGCAAGTTGTGCAAGAGGGTCTTGTAGCCTCTAACTGAGGCATTTTGATCTGTTTATATTCCCCATGGTACTTTATGTGGTATATGAACAGATTTACGCTTAGCCTTTAGTTTTTTTGGTAGTTAGCTTTGTTTGCTTTATTAGCTTTTTTGTTCAGTCTAATGGATTTTATATCCATTGGCTATTTTTTGATTTTTAGTCTAGCTTCTTTCTTGTGGGTTGTGCTTTGGTTTAGTCTGTTGGGCCTGGGGTATTCCCCTTGTATTTGTGTAATTTCTTTCTATTTTATTTTATGACTAGTTCACCCCAAAAAAACAAGGAAAAGGAAAAAAAAGGCAAAATACGAAAGAAAGCATTGGCTCATTTTGTCCAACGAATATGTGAAGGATTCTAAGCAAACGTCTATTTAGAAAACATAGGAAAAAGGATCTGAACTGAACAAGATGTTTTAGATTGCACTTTATTTCTCTAACTGCAATCTTCCCTAGGAGGAGTTTCTGAGTCCAACAACTCTAACCATATGGCTCTGCAACACTACACGATACTTCAGTCCAGTGTCAAAATGAAAAGCTATAGTAAATCCAAAGAGCTCTTCTTTTGTCATTGTTATTGTTTTATTTTAAAAATTTTCAAATATAATTAGTTTGTTCTTACCTTTCTTATCTAACACGTGCTCTTCTTACTCTCAACAGAACTTGGATGGCTGTGTTGTTTTCATTGGGTTGCAGTTAATGAATGCTACTGCAACTGCCCAATTTTTACCATACAAAATGAGGAATACATGTTACATGTTCACTTGGAGAAATTGGAAAGAAATTAAAATTAAGAGTCAAGAAATCTTTTATTCTTTAACCAAATGAGACAAAGTAAAATGTTTATAGGCAAACATGTATACACGGATTCGTTATTAAGGGGTAATAGATTTGCCCAGTAGTTGAAGTTCTTGAAAACATGCACGGGTACCTTGGGAGGGCAGGGAGAGAACACTTGCGCCTCATGTTTGTTGCGATGTATTGTTTTTCATGCCTAGCATTTTAGATATATGTATCCTTCTTCAACTTTTTGATGAGGAAAAATAACACTTACAGACCACAAGACACAACTTGTTACACATGAAGCATAGAGGAGAACCGAACGAAGTTGCAGGAAAAATGTTCATGTCTCCTAAAAGCTCAAAGAAAGAGTTGATAGAAAAGAGCTCTTGAGAGCCAAAAATCAAAGAACTGAGTATAATTATGTGCCAACTGTCTCTATCCCTTCGAATGATTTCTTTTTATGCTTCTTCCATATGCACAATGATATATATACACGTCTTCTAACATTGTGTGACATACTAATGAAGATTATTCTTTCAGGATTGAATGGTCATAATGTTCAAGAACAGCAGCATCTCAAGCATGTTCCATCTTCGACACCACCAGCGATGGGTGAACATCTTGAACCAAATTCCCAAATGGAACTTGTTGGTCACTCGATTGTAAGAGCACCTCTCTCTCTCTAATTTACTCATGTGCACTGGGAGTATCAACAGGTTTTTTTTTTTTTTATTTCTTTTTCTTACTTGATTGTGGGTATGCAATATGAGGCATGACATTAATTGTTAAACTTCTGCAGGTGTTGACATCGTATCCATATCCAGACCCACATTATGGGGGAATAATGGCATATGGGGCACAAGTAGGAATGCAAGTTGGTCCCTTCCTCTGTCTCAATTGTAGTTTTAACTTGTTTGGCTCGTTGATATTTTTGTAAACTCTTTTTCTTTCACTATATAGCACTATGTCTTTTATCTATTTTGTTGCTCTGCTTCTTATATATTTATTTATGGCCATTCTCTTATCTTTTCTCTTTATCTCATACCCTTGCATGTAAATTGATTGAATCTTATGCTCTATTTGTTTCGGCGAAAACGTTTTCTAAAACGACCACCATCACCGCCGTTGCCACCACCACCTCCACTGCCACCACTACTGCCACTGTCACCACCACCACAACACCACCACCACCACCACTACGACCTCCTCCTCCTCCACCCCACCGCTGCCACTACTATCACCACTAATGAAGCTATTAGTGCATTAGTTTCAAGAATGCAATCAAGCATAGGAAAAAATTTTAGAATTTTTTTTTTTGTGTAGAAAATGCTTTCCATTGGAAAATGTTTTTCGCTGAAATAAACAGAGCATTAGCCTGACTCTAGCTCTGTGTCTGTCTTGCTCTCATGCTTGTATGTGTGTGCTTGTATTTTGTTTTTCTTTTGTATTAGTTTGTGGCAATGTTACCACTTCCGAATTGGGAACACCACGTGTTTCAACTTTGAGTCTTGTACTCTTGTTCAGTGTTCGTTTGTATTTCTTTCTATCTTTACTTGTAACAGAACTTGTGGTAGTGCTGCAAGTCCCTTTGCAACATATTACATGGCATACATTCAAAATTTCAAATTACAGACCATATCGTACTCTGCTCTTTATCTAGGGAATGTCTGTACTGCTGGAGCTGGAAAGAAAGTTGTTTATTGTGCATATACATGAACATAAATCCATATGAGTATACAAGTTGTGCATATTCCATGGGTGTGCTATGCAAATCAAAGATACCAATCCTTTAATCGTTCACCATCAAAATTTAAGTAGTTGAACTGTAGATAAAGAGAATAATTAAAGAAATTAAAATTTGAAATAAAAAACTGGAGCAGTTGCATAGGGGCAATTTGGTCTTTAGAAAATGCGTGATGTAGCTTCAAATGGGCATTCACACCAATTTCAGAGTTTATATTATATAATAGTATAGACATTTGTATGATTAAATTGATTAATCAGTATCATCAAACATTGTCTGTTTTTTATCTTTCTCTTTTTGTTGTTGATATGATGGTGCTGTCTTTTGGTATTACTTTCATGTAATTAATATTTCTTTCGTAAGTGCTATGCAAATTAGTATGCATTTTGTTTGCGCGCGTGCGCGCACACACACACATATGTATATATATTAATATGAAGCAACTCTAGAATCCGTGTGTGGGGGAACTGTGAGGTATACATGGACTTATCTTATTGCTCATGCTACAGTTAACTTAAATTAGGAAACAAGTTCTAAAAAAGTGAAGACGGAATATATGTATGTGTTGGCTACATATTTTGTACAAGCCAATTACAATTCGACGCGTGGCAGAATAAGGGTAATACAGGAAGACTATTCAAGTCTTCGATCCTGATCGTACACGTGACAGTTAGTATTGGTTATTACGAGATCCGAGTAACAGTGGATCAACAAAGAGATGCAAGGTGATGTGGCTTCAACGGTTACTCACATGTAAATTCAAATTTAGGAGGAAAGCCTAACTGCAAGTGATGGCACAGTGGGGCTAATTGTAAGGCAACATGATCAGCGATCATGGAGGAGTAGTTCGACGGTTGGAAATACAATTCGATGGTCATCCTCGAGAAGTATAAATAGCAGAGAAGGCCCAGAAAAAGACCCCCAGACTCAAATCCAAAAAACCAGTCATATTATACTTATTTTCCTTTCCAGTTTTACATTTCCAGTCTTTCATTTTCCTGTACTTTAAATTCCTACACTGCATGTCATTCATAGGAGTAGTTTCAAGTAGATTGTTGCTGTAAACCTCTACGAGGCTGAGTTTGGATCATTGTAAGTTTTTCATTTTAATGAAATACTTCAACTGTTCTTCATTTAATTGTTATTTTGCTTAATTCTCCTAAATCCAGCCACCAGTAAAAGTCCTCTTCATTGAGACTGAAAGAACTAAAACACAATCGTTTGATAATTGGTTGGCAATTAATTTTCTGTAAGGACTGATTGATCCTTGCTGGCACGCTCGCAATTACAATAATAACCTTCGAAAGCCAAAAAAGCCAACATATATTTTTGGCACGCCCGGTGGGACTAATTGAAATGGCTAGGCGTAGGAGACAAGGAGAAAATGAATGCTTGGAAGAAGGCATGGAAGGAGAGGTAGAGATACCTAATCTAGAGGATAATGTGATAACACATCCTGTGGAAACTCTCATTTTATCAGAACCTATGGTCGAACAGACCAGCACTTGAGAACAAGTCCCGCATGTTCATAATATTGGACGAGACCAAGGAATTGAAACATCTACTATTCCATCTACTCAGACAATAAATCCATGAGGTGGCCTAGTAGATGTCATGGGACAACAGTTAATGAACACGATGGAAAGGTGGGTAACATCCTTTTTGGATCGAATGAATAACCACCAACCAACAAACGCAAGACACATGAGTTTTAAATGTCTCTCGGCAAAGATTGGCTAGAGATAAACAACCTATGCAAGTTAATGGACATTCTAATGATTAGACTAGTAATTAGAATTATGAAAGACCATCATCTCAGTCTTGGTACGAACTTATTTCGAGGCCTATAGCAGGTTAAAATGCCTCAGTGCTTAACAGTGAAGCCATGCAAATTGGTGGATCTGGCCCAATATAAGAGAATGGCATAAGAATGGCTCCAAATCCAATGTTCGAAGCCATACCTGGCATGAGGGGGTTCACTAATCCCTTATTCGAATTTATACCCGGGGGTTGGAAGGTTTTCCTACAAATGGAAGAGACACAACACCAGTTCCAGCACCTTTCGCAGGTCCTTTCGCAGGACAAGCTCAAAGGGGTTACCCACACCCTTAACAACAACCTGCACCACAGGGACAACCAGTCCCAAATATACTACCTTATGGACCAAGAGGACCACAGGCACAAGTTTGCCCACCAAATCCTGTGTTTGTTCCTCCAGTAGTAGTTCAGCAAGCACAAAATATGGTTCTTAGGGACCAAATTGTTGATATTGTCAGACAAATGTGTGGACCTATGGCTCGAGGGTTCAAACTCGGGGGGTCCAGACTCTAGTGTACAGGAAACCGTACCCAGAATGGGTGGACAGGGTACATGAATACCCAAGAGGTTTCAGGATACTAGATTTTGCCCTTTTTTATGGGAATGGAAACCAATCAACAGTGGAGCACATTGCTAGGTTTGCTGTTCAATGCGGTGAATTTACTAATAATGACTCTATGAAGTTAAGGTTATTCTCAAATTCCCTAACTAGGGGAGCATTTGTATGGTATATTAACCTTACACCTGGCTCTATCCAGACTTGGCAACAAATGGAAGAGGCTTTTCATGCTCAATTCTTCTAATCGGAGCCAGAAGTTTCCATGACAGATTTGGCAAGGTTGAGTCAAAGGCCTGATGAGAAGGCTACTCAGTTTATTGCCAGATTTAAAAGGGCTCGAAATAAATGCAAAGTCATCTTACCAGAGCCAGAATTCGTGAGATTGGCTCAAAATGGCTTAGAGTTTAGGCTTCGAAAGAAGTTTGACTCGACTGAGTTCAGAGACTTAGTGGAACTCACTTATAAGGTGTCTAGGTACGAAGCATTATTAGAGGAGGAGCAAGATCGAAAGAATGCATCGTACAAGACATATTATAGAGATTCTAATTATGAGATCGATGCAGCAGAGATTGTGGGGAAAGAACCTGTGATTTGTGAAGCATTAATTCATAAGGATACAACAATTGACCAACAGTTTAAAAAGAACGAATTTCATAGGAAATACTCTTTCGATTTAACTAAGGCATATGACATTTTTGATCATTTGCTTGCGACCAACTTCCTTAAGTTACCAAAAGGAGTCAAAATTCCATCTCTAGATGAACTTAAAGGAAAAATATATTGTAAATGGCATAATTCTTGGTCTCACTCGATTAAAAACTGTATTGTTTTTCGAGACAGGATCTAAGAACAAATTCGGAAAGGAAGTCTAAAATTCCCAGCTAAAGCAGAAAAGGCCATGGGGATCGACAGTAATCCATTTCCAGAACTTGGAGAAAGTGCAGCTAATGTCGTTGTACCAGACTTCCAGAATTTATCTCTGCAGGAATTGGAAGAGGTCAATGTGCAAATGCATGTTGCCAGCCAGGCTACTATTAAGAAAGACACTAGAAGTTTGCCAGTTGTTAGATAAGGCTCTACAAGTCAAAGAAAAGACTCTGATGAAGAAACATTGGATGATGATTCCTTGGAAGCAGCAGTTATCCAAAGAATGTGTCCCAAATGTAGGTTGAACTATAAGTGGCTGAAAGGGCTCCCGATTAATGGGAAGCAATACTACAGGGATGTGCAGAGATGTCCTAAACCAACCAGTGCTCACAACAAAAGGCCATACACAACTAGTGTTAGGCAGCAGCCATTAATGGTTGAGCCAATAGCTGATAGAATGCATTCTAAAGGCAAGAGGCCTTTATATGAGTCCAGGCCACCTAACTATTACAGAATGGAGAGCATTCATTCTGAAAGGAGGTCGGAGAGGGGCTCAGTTTGTGGGTATAGACACCCCATTTTTGACCGTCCTCAAGACTTGGACGTCATCGTTTGAACACTCGATGATCATCCATGTTCGTGTTCGTTCTAAGTTCTCGGAGGTCTCGGCTACGCATCTTGCCTCAAGATCTCTTAACTTGATTGTTCTGTGCTTGGTTGTGAACCAAACACTTGTGTTTTTGCTTCTAAGGGAAGAAAGTGGCTTGTTGGCCATCCCTACTCCCTACCGGCCAAGGCTTAAAGCCATCGGCCCCTCTTTCTTTCCATCGGCCAAGAGTGTTGGCCGATCGGCACCATATTTAGTCGGTCGGCC